GCCGCGCGGCCCGCGGGCGGGATGAGCGAGTTCCGCATCCACCACGACGTGAGCGAGCTGCTGAGCCTGCTGCGGGTGCGGGGCGGCGAGGGCGCCGAGGCCTACACCGAGCTGCTGCAGAGGAACCGCGCGCCCTACCTCACGACCACCGCCTCCGCCCTCGCGGCCAAGGTGGGTCCGGCGGCCCGGCCGGGGGGCGCCCTGCCCCGGGCAGCGGGCGCTGCGCCCCAGCGGCCCCCGCCCACGCCGCCCTGCGTTTGCTCCCCAGGTGAAGATCGCGGAGTTCTCTCGGACGCCGGAGGATTTCCTGAACAAGTACGATGAGCTGAAATCGAAGAACACGCGGCACCTGGACCCCCTGGTGTACCTGCTTTCCAAGCTCACCGAGGACAAGGAAGTAGGCCGACCCTGTTTCTCGCGGCAGTGCTCGGCCCGGGAGGGTCTCCTTGGGGGTCCTCTCCGCGTCATTCCGTTAGGAAAGGGACACTGAGTGCTTCTGCGTGAATGATCTGGAATGAGGGGTGGGCAGCAAGACCAGGGGGCACTGCAAAAAGACCCAGGGCATCTCTCCAAAATGGGAGAATGGGCACTGAAGTGACACATGTGTTATAAGCAAGTGTAAAGTGATGCACATTGGGGCAGGACATCCAAATGTAAGCTGATAGGATCTGAACTACCAGTTTCTGATCTGAAAAGGATCTTGGGTTCACACATCAAAGAAAACTTGTGGGCAGCTGATTGATCACTGTGAGAACCAGAGGCTGGGCTTTAGAACCCTTGGTTCTTAGGCAGCTCGGCTTGTTTCCTGTTTTTCTGACATCCACATTTCTTGCAGAGTATAGAGATGCTGGAGGGATTCTAAGGGCAGAATGGCATCTGTTTGCTTTCTACAGAAAGATGAACTGGGGAAGGAGGGAAGCTGTTAGTAGGAACAGGAAAACAATTTGTCATAGTGGCCCAGAAATGTTTAGCCTGTATCAGGGACTCCCCAGTTTCTCATCTGCCTGAAATATTTGAGATTCTGTATCAGCCTGTTCACTGAAAAGCAGGGAGTCTGTAGCAAGTAGAAACCTTGAACGAGGGTAACGACTCATAAAGCAATGTTTAAAATAGTTCAGGGTATCTGGACCTGGTCAGCTATGTGTTTTCACCACATGCAATTAGGATGCTAAAGGCAAGAGCAAGCCTTGAACCAAACAGGTTCATGCAGACAATCACTTCCATGTGAGAGAGTCTTTGCAGCTTTTGTTGTTTCTCCACTCTACTTTTTTATCGAGGCTTTTATTTTTTGCAGACCCTACAGTATTTGCAGCAGAATGCCAAAGAAAGGGCAGAGCATGCTGTAAACTCCACTGCTAGCAGCAGCAACAGCAACCTCACTTTCCCCATCCCTTCAACAACACCCAAAATGACTGTTCAGGAGCTTGAGGAGTTGCGGAAGCAGCTGGGCACTGTGACGACCAGTTCTAGCACACAACAGGTATATCTTGAGCCTTTTGCTCTGTGTTGGAGGCCTTTGTGATCCCCCCCCCACCAGCACTGGTGCAGCATGTCCATGTGACATTATTGGTCCCACTGGACAGTTGCACTATGCCTTTGTTTACAGATGCAAAAAAGTGTGGAAATTCTGCAGTGATGGAAAAGGAACTGTTCTTTCCTCCTTCCCTGCTCTTCCCAGTGGAAATGGGGACAGGGGTTGAGATATACATTATAAATTGTTATCACAGTTAAACTGATTTTGATGTCTTAACACAAAATGCAACATTCAAAGGTTAGCAGATAAAAGTGGACCCTTTGGCATGCATCTCTGTCTTTGTTGGTAAGGTCCTTCCATCAGCAAAGCAAGAAGGGAGATAATTCCTTTGCAAGGTATCCCAGTTTCAGAATATAGTCCAGGACTTTTCAGTCTGGAGGTGGGCTTGGGGGATGCAGGGGACTACAGGGAGAAGAAAAGGAGAAGACAGATATTTCACAGGCCTGACTCTTCCTTGTGTGATGTTCAAAATAGAGGGCATGACTTTGCAACTAAACAACAATCTGCTTTAAAAACCCCAAAACATTATATAAACAAATATAAATATTATATAAAACAGTTTAATTAGTTGCAATAGTTAAGAACTAGCATTTAACCTTTAAGCTAAGTGTTTGCTGAAAATGTTGCATTTTGCATTATTCATAGAAAGTGTTGTTCTTCATTGCTACTGATCTTTTACAGGCTTTGAGTGAGTGAAACCTTGTTTTAACAAGCAGTTCACTCACCCCCAAATTAGAACAAACAGGATGTGTGTTTTCACTTTTCCTTAAAATTTCCAATTATTTTAAAAATACTGGGGGCAAGAGGAAGATCATCAGAAAATAACCTGGGGGAATCCCTCCCCCCCCCCCCCCGGCTTCTTCTGGTTTTTCTTCATGCCGTCACATCTTACCAAGTCTTTCTGAGTGGTCCTTCAGAGGAAGCCCTGCTTCTGTCTGGTAGTCAGAGCCACCGGCTCTGCTTTTTTCTAGTTTACCATGGAAGAGGTTTCTAGATGAGGCAGGATTTAGCACTGTAAGCATCCAGCTTCCTTTGCCCCATAAGCAATCCCTTCTAAACCCCACATATTTCTCCCTGTCTCATTGGGTTCTCGGTTCCTGGGGCAGATAACAGCCCAAGGTGTTCAAATCACTCCCGTTTGGTTCTCCCTTGCTGCTCCCCACGCACTGTTTCCTGCCCTCCCTTCCCCCGTAGAAATCTGGATCAGGCTGCGTGGGTGGGTCTGGAACAGAGAAAGCTATGTTAGTTGCCTCATCTCACTTCTTAGGTTTGGTACACAATGCGTCAGGCTGCTGTGGAATCTGGATGCATCATGCATGTAACATGGTTGCTGGATGAGTGCACAAGTCAGTTTTTGCTTTCAGACTTGCTTCTGCAAACGCTTCATCTTCCAGTAAATTTCGCTTGTGGGTCACATGTGTCTTTTTCTTTTGGCAGCCTCTTGAACTTGTACGAAAAACACTCAGAGAAAAGCAGAGCAAAAAGAATTCTGGCCAGCCCATTCCATCATTTCCCACCTGGGTATATGAGAGACCTGCCCTCATTGGAGATTTTCTCACAACCTCCAGTTTAAGCACGGATACAGCTATGCCAATAGGTGGGTATTACAAGAAAAGACCATGGTCTCACAGCTGGCGACAGGGTTGGACGATCTGATCTGAAGCTCAACGACAGCAAGTGTCTATGTTGCACTTGGTGGGCCCCTCACTGGCTTTAACCAATGCAGCCCGGAGCTGGCGGCTCACAGGTATCTCAGGCAAAGCATCCCAGAGGATCCTGAATGTTGCTGTATCTGTGCACACTATGTTGTTCAGACAGATGTAGGCAGCAGGAAGACTTTCCTTGTTTAAACTTGTAGGCTGCCTTTTAGCCCTGAAATCAGTCTCCCAAAATAGCATCCAGGTGTTTTTTTAAGTGATCACCCCCCCAGACAACGTTCTGTGTCTTTTGTCTTTCTCTTGGCTTCTGCAACAGGAACATTACCATTGGCAGCTCAAGAGCCTGCAGTAGTGGAGGACTTGCTGTACGTTTTGATTGGGGTGGATGGCAGATATATCACCGCACAGCCGCTGGCGGGCAGAGAGAACCGGGCTTTTTTAGTGGATCCTAATTTGGATATGTCGGTCAAAGAGCTGGTCACCAGGATCCTCCCTGTTGCTGCGAGTTATTCCACAGTTACCAGGTACTGACCATTTTGGGTGGGGGGGCGGGGTGTTACCATAGGAGTGACTACATGGAATAGGTAGATCTGTTGTTTTTTGTCCAGATTCTCAGTTCTGCACTGCTTACATTCAGTTTGTTCCATTTTATGGAATCATATAATAGATTTTTGGAAGGGGCCATTGGGTCTGATCCCCTGCTCAGTACAAGACTCCCGCTTCTCCATCCCTCCCAGATGGCTATCTAGTTGCATCTCAAATGCCTCTAGTGTGGGGGAGCCCACAACCTCCCTTGGTCATCTGTTCCATTGTGTACTAACAGTCAGGGAATTTTTCCTTATATCTAGCCAGGATCTGGGTTTGTGTAAGTTGAGCTGTTATTCTGATGATTGAGAAGAGGTCCTGTCTTTCATATTTGTGACATTCTCCTAAGTACTTGTAGAGTGTTATCATAACTCCTTCTCTTCTTCCAGCTGAACATGTCTAGTTCTATCACTCTTTCCTCATGGGGTTTTGTCTCCAGTCCGTGGATCATCCTTGTTACCCTTCTCTGAACCCTTTCCAGCTTGTCTGCATCTCCACTTTAGATTCCAGTGTGTTCAAAATTGTTCAGATCCAACTGCTTTTCAGTCCATAGTCAGGCTCAGGAAGTTTAGATTTGGTATAATTTTGCATGGAAATGTGAACTGAACAGGATTTCTTGCACCTCCTAAACTTCGTGTAGTGCAGGAACAGTTTGCTTGTTGAGTGGTTTGTGCCGGCCAACTGATGCTTGCCGTGCTTGGGAGCTGCCCTTGCACAGCCCCAGCTGTGGGCTGCCCTGGAGTATTAAGCAGTCTGTTTCACAGCGTGAAGCCTCAGTTGATTGGCAGGTGATTCCACCTGGGATTTTGCTTTGCTTTCTGTGCTGCATGTGATCATGGTGGGGCTTGCATAGGAAACAGCCGTGCTGAATGGATCCCTCCCTCTCCCTCCCCGCTCCTTTTCTTTTCCGCCATTCATTTTGAACTGCATTACTTTGCTGTCAGGCTCCTTCCTTCTGGAGCTCAAAATATCCTTCTGTGAACAATGCTTGCCAAGGAAACAAGAAGCACCTATCACATTTGCAGGGAATGCTTATCAGATTTGCACAAAATTTGCAGATGACACAAAACTGGATCAGATAGCTAATAATGCTGGAATAGAGAAACAAGGTTCAAGGTGAGCTTTAAAGGTTGGAATGCCAGGCTGATCGGAACAGAATGGAATTCAGTAGGGACAGATGCCATGTTCTGTGCCTAGGAAAAAGAAACCAAGTGCAATGTTGCAAGATGGGGAATATTTGGCTCAACAATACTGCAAGTGAGAAGGATGTTGGAATTGTTGTACGTGAGAAGCAGAATATGAGTCAACCATGTGATGTGGCCAATGCTATTTTGGGCTGCATTAATACAAGTATCTCTTCCATATCCCATGAAGTACTAGCTCCCCCCTACTCAGCATCGATTAGCCCTCTTCTGGAGTATTGTGTCCAGTTCTGGACACCAGAGTTTAAGAAAGATGAGGACCAGTTGGAAAGGGTTCAGAGAATGGCGGCAACTGGAGGATCCAGCGACTATGGGCAAAGCTCTGTGAGGAAAGATTGAGAGAACTGGGCATGATTCACCTCGAGAAGAGAAGAATGAGGGGTGATATGATAGTGCTCTACAAGGACTTGAAAGGCTGTCACGGGAAGGATGACCAGGATCTCTTCTTGACCACCCCAGAGTGCAGGACTCAGAATAACAGTTACGGGAAGCAGGTTCTGACTGTACATCAGGAAGAACTCCATGACAATGGAACCAGTGACCTAGGAAGGTTGTGGGCTCTTTCACATTGTAGGCATTCAGCATGCAACTAGACAACCATTGGAGAGGGATGATTTAACCTGGAGTCCTGTAGTGAGCAAGGGGTTGCACCCGGTGGCTCAAACTACTTTATGTTTTTACGCTAAGCCAGTCTTTGTCTCTTCCCAGGTTCATAGAAGAGAAATCTTCCTTTGAATATGGGCAGGTGAATCATGCTCTTGCGGCAGCCATGAGGACCCTCATTAAGGAGTACATGATCCTGATCACCCAGCTAGAGCACCTCCAGCGACAAGGGCTTTTGTCCCTGCAGAAGCTCTGGTTTTACATCCAGCCCACAATGAGGACCATGGAGATCCTAGCCTCTCTCGGTGAGGAATCCTCCCCCGATTCCAGTTTACTGGGGAGCCTCAATGCAGCTGTTGCTGGACAGTGCGCTGGAGGCGGTGACCTACTCCTGTCACTGCTTCCTGTTCCCCTACTGCTCGCACCGCAGCCTTTTAAAAATCTGGTTGAGAATGGTGGGTTGGTGGTTTGGGGCAGAGCAAAGAAACTTCTTTACACAACATGGAATTCAACTATGAAATACGTGTTGCAAGCTGTAGTGATGGCAACAATTGCGAGCTTCAAGCGAGGTTAAACTGTTTCATGGAGGAAAGGGTGGCTGGACTCTGCCTCCACAGCCACAGCTCAGATGCCATCACTACGTATGTGAAGTTGTGAATTTTTACATTGCTTTTCTCTTGCTTACATTGAACTAACTTTGCCACTTAGTTACTGGTTTCCCAGTTTGGAGAAATTCTTTTTGCAATTTCTTGTTTTATCTAACCCTAAATATGATCAGAAAACCTGACCGCTTCACTGCTTACCCCTAATTTCAGATCATTTATGAATAGATTGAAAAGCATTGGTCCCAATACAGATAATTCTGAGACCCCCATGTTTACTTCCTGCCATTGAGGGAATTCACAGTTTAGTCTACTGTTTGCCTTCCATTCTTTAACCAGTTCCTGACCTGTAAGAGGATTTCTGTTATTCCATGACTGCTAAGTTTGGTGGGGGACTTTGTCAAAGGCCTTTTGGAAGGTCAAGTGAACAATGTCTACTCGATCATCTCTGTCCACATGTTTATTAACTGGTAGCTGAACTGGGGACATTTCAGGCAGGAGAGTTGCAGGAAAGCAGCATAGAACACAGCATGAATAACAGATTTTGGCTAAAATGTAGGTGAAACCTCTTAACAGCAAGGGCTGTTCAGCCGTGAAATAGGCTGCCATGGGAAATGGTGGGTTGATGAGCACAGGTTTGGGCTGGATGCTCTCCAAGACTCCTTCCAACTCTGTGATCCTAGGAAAGAGGTGGAGGAAAGCTGTGTCTTGGCCCCACAGGAAACTGTGGGTAATGAAGTGAGCAAGGGAGAAGGCTAACAAAGTCCTAGACTTGCCAGAAAGGGGACTGCAGGGGTGAGTGGCTTATAGCACCTGCTCTGTTTTTCCACAAAGCTGTGAGTGTGCAGGTAGAGGTGGAGGGTTGCTTCCTCATCAGTAGAAAGGGGGGATGCTGGAGAATTCTTGTTCTTTGGATCCAGAGAGGCCAAACAGGTCTTGGGCTGGATGGCTGCATCTTCTGTGCCCCAAACTGGAGTACAATTCTTAAAATTCTCCCAGTGGCCAAACTCCTGTCTCTAGTAGGTCCTTAGGAGAAGGGTGGAGCGCTAAAATGTTTTCCTCCCTTGAGGAAGCTATCTTGGCTTTTATTATTTTCTTGGTTCAGATAATGCCAGGCTGACTGGCTTTGGTTCTGCTTGCAAAATTGGTCCTTATGACTCAGGTTCAGAGGTATTTGAAAAGTCTTTTCAGGCATATTTTGAAGCCGTTTCCACTTATGGCGCACCAGAGACTTGGTGAGGCCAAGCAGTCTTTTTATTGTGACCCTGGGTGTGCCAAGAGAAAGAGGTCCTGAACAGTCCCCTTCAAGCAAGGGAGGCTCTGGCAAGAGTCCAGGTGTGCAGGGGCAGGATGGGAGGCCTGTCCATTTCTTGGTTGCTTCGGTGGATAAGGGTGGTGAATCTCGGTCTGCCTCTTGTTGCAGCCACGTCTGTAGACAAAGGCGAGTGTATGGGAGGATCAACACTCAGCTTGCTCCATGACAAAACCTTCAACTACACCGGGGACAGCCAGGCCCAAGAGCTGTGCCTCTACTTGACCAAGGCTGCCAGCGTCCCTTACTTCGAGATTCTGGAGAAGTGGATTTATAGGGGCATCATCAACGATCCCTATAGGTGTGCAGAGCTGCCTGGCTCATTTTCCTTCTTGGTTCCCCCATGAACTAGTACGGCCCTCCCCCGTCGGGCGAGGCTCCCTCCAGCTTTTGTGGGTATTGCTAGCTGCCAGTCTCAGCCAGCAGGGGTGATGGCTAGGAATGCTGGGAGTTGTCCCCAAGCAACATTTGAACACACCGGCGAGGGGGAAGGTTGTGCTAGCGAAATCTCTGTGGGCTCTTTGGGAGACCGGGCAGAATTGCCATGCTGCTGCTGAGAAGCACCTCCCAGCCGCTCTCTGGTTTTAATTTTGTAGTGAGTTCATGGTGGAAGAGCATGAACTACAAAAAGAAAAGATCCAGGAGGACTACAATGATAAGTACTGGGACCAGAGATACACTGTTGTTCAGGTCCAGATCCCCTCCTTTCTCCAGAAGATTGCAGACAAAATCCTTAGCACAGGTAAGCAGCTACCTGTCAGGTGGGAGGTGGCGGTGGCAGCGGCAGGCAGGAAGACTCTTCCCAGGAGGGTCCACATGTTGCGCAGCTCACTCTGAGCACTGCTGCTCCTGCTGCCTGGCAACCGAGTGCTGTCCAGGCACCAGTGGGGTTGTGTGGCTAGGGCAAAGCAGGCTTTCCTCAGAGAATCAGTGCATGCCTTGGAAAGGCAGCTTATTTCATTTAATTTCCAGGTCTCTGCCACCCTTCTTCCTGGGAGCTCTGGTGGCATTCCTGGGTCTTTCTCTCCCCCAGTGCCATTTTATGCTGAGAAGCACCCTCTTGTGAGCTTGCCCAGTCTCCTGGGGGGCTTCAGGGCTAAGGAGTGGAGACACGTACTCGACAGGGTCTCTCCCTTCGCTAACCCATCAGGTGACCCGCTGCAGTGCGTTGGCACTCACACGTCTTTGGGGGAAGCTATTTGTCCCCGTGGTGCTGAGTAAAATGGGCCGTGTGATGCTTACTATCCCAAGCTTTCACCAGCTGCATTCCCAGGCTTGCCAGTCAGATCAGGCCAAATCTTGCAGCGTGTGGAGTTTGGGTTGAATTTTTGTGTCATAACAGCTCTGCCCTTTTCTTTAGGGAAGTATTTAAATGTTGTGCGGGAGTGCGGCCATGACGTGACCTGCCCTTTGGCAAAAGAAGTTATCTATACTTTGAAGGAGCGTGAATATGTGGAGCAAATAGAGAAGGCCTATAATTATGCCAGCAAAGTCCTGCTCGATTTCCTCATGGAAGAAAAAGAACTTGTGGCCCGATTAAGGTTTGCTTCATTATTGGGAACCTGAGAATAGGTCTGTTTCAGGTGTGGCATGTGCCTTTTTCCTAGCTGGTCAGCCTCCTCTGGAGGGCACAGTCCAGTCCTGGGTGCCAACTGTGACAGATGACACTCGCTCTCTTCCGGCATTGCACCACACACCCCTCCGCCGTGGCTCTTTGTGCATCCTGGCCAAAATGTCCATGGGTGGGACTGGGGGCTTTTTAGAGTCATGGCGGTTTCTCAGCCCATTTGAAGCCTGTTCCTTCTGGGAACTCCCACTGCATGGGGACTCTTCAGTGAGGAGAGTGCGCTTCCCACTGCCAGTGTTTCCCTTCCCCATGTATGGAAGCGATGACAGCAAGAGTGGGGCCATCTGGCTCTTCCCCATGGCACCCTTCATCCTCCCATGTTAGAAATCCCCGGGAAGAAGAGGGCCAGGAAAGGGCAGCCAACAAACTAGAGCATGCCCAATGCAGGGAAACAAGATGGGGAAGAGTCAGAAGACCAGGCCCAAGCAGTGTGACTTCCTCGTGGGCCAGGGCGATTTCTGTGTCCGTTTCATGGGCCTCAGCACAGAGGGCTTCTACAGAGCCCATACTGACAAGAGGTTGGGCTAGAAGACCTTCAAGGCCCCTTCTAGCTCTGGTTCTAATGCCCTTCCACAAGTGGGTCAGTGGTTGATAACTTTTCCAAGGAGACATGAAAATGTACATCTCAAGGCAAAGCTGGCCAGAGACGGTGGGCTCCTTTCTGCATGCCAGGCAGCTGCCCTTCTGCCTGTTTGCTGCTGCTGCCTCCAAGCCCTGGAGGTGGGCTTCAGCAAGCAGTGCTGGGGAGGTGGGTACATCACCTGTCCCTGTTTTCCTCTGGCAGCAAGTTAATGTGTGTCATTTTGGGAAGCAGGTCCATCAAGCATTACTTCCTTATGGACCAGGGTGATTTCTACGTCCATTTCATGGACCTCACTGAAGAAGAACTGAAAAAACCAGTGGATGACATCATTCCTACAAGACTGGAGGCTCTGCTTGAGTTAGCCTTGCGCATGAGCACAGCTAACACAGACCCATTCAAAGATGACTTAAAGGTAAACCTGTCCCTCCAAGATGCTCTAACATCCAGAAAATGACCCCAAGGAGCAGCTGCTTGATGTGAGCTGAGCTGAGAAACTCCCTGGCCAAAGCCACCAGTACTGAAATGCAGCAGGCTGTGGGGTTGGGGGGTTTGTTGCAAGCAGCACTGGGAACAATTGGTTTTTACTTGGCTTGTTAATGTTGACCAACAGCAAATCTCCCATTCCCTCAATCCATTCTTTAAAAGAAAGTATTTGTTTTCAATGTAAAATACAACCAAACAAACCACTAAAATAAAAATATACAAAATTAAACGTACAATTAAAATAAACCTTTAAAAGACTATGCTCCCCACCATTAGGACCATAAGACACATGCTACAGATAGAAAAACTTACTCAAACATTCAGGACATTTCCCCCTTCCGAAGCTGCTGCTATTCTTTTGACAGTTCAGATCCTTTCCCTCTTTAAGCACATAGTCCCCCAGGGCTCAGTTCTGGGGCCAATTCTGTTCAACCTCTTTATCAGTGACCTGGAGGAGGTGGTGACCAGTTTGCTGACCAAATTTGCAGACAATATAAAGTGGGGGTGGTAGCCACAACTGGGGAGCAGTTACCCTGGATCCAAAAGTATCTGGACAGACTGTGGAGGTGGGCAGGAGACAACAATATGGCGTTCAGTGTGGACAAGTGCCAGGTCTTGCACTTGGGACTGGGGAATCGGTGTCACGGGCACAGGATGAGGGACAAGTGGCTGGAAAGCAACACTTGTGAAAGGCAGCTCAAAGTACTTGTCAATAGCAGGTTAATCCTGAGCCAGCCGTGTGACACGGCAGGCAACAAATGCCACCATTGGATGTACAGCCAGAGGCATGGCTTCCAGATCAAGAGAAGTACTACTAGCACTCTATGAGACTCTGGTGCACCCAAACTGGAGTACTATGTCCAATTCTGGGCTCCACATTATAAGAGGGACAAAGCTAGGCTAGAATCAGTTGGCCACAGGGTCACAAGGATGGTAGCTGGATGGTGGGGGGGCAGAGATGAGATCGAGGGAGCTGGGTCTTTTCAGCATGGAGAAGAGGAGATGCAGTGGGGATCTTATAGGAACATACAGGTTTGTGAGGGGGTGTTGCATGATAGAGGGTCATGACAGTAGGGCAAGGCTCAAGGAAATGGGTTCAAGTTGGATATCAGGAAATACTTTCTGATGGTTCGGACTCCTAGGATACAGAATAGGCTTCCACGGGAGGTGGTGGCGGCCCCATCAGTGACCAGGGTGTTCAAGGGAAGCTTGGACAAACACATGTTGGGGGTTACATGAAAGTAGCCAGCAGGTGCAGGGGTCAGACCAGATGGCCTGGGAGGCCCCTTCTGACTTGCTATGTTTCTAAATGCACCCCAAATCTCGTAAGCTTATTTTTCTTTATATACCCTTTTCTCATTTTAATAGTGCAGTTTAAGTTGCCATTAATAGCTATTTTCCAAATTTCTCTACCAATCACACAATTGGTAATCATATATTTATTTAAATGATTTGTATGCCGTCCAATACTGTCGTCATTTTACTTTCCAATTCTTAACTATGATGAATCTCTCAGCAATTATTAAATTTATTATTAATTCTGTATTATTCCAATCTCTTTTTTTCTTATCAAATATAGAAAGTAATGATCTCGGGGCACATTTCTATATTTAAACAACATTTTACTTTTCTATTTAAAAACCTCTTTCCAAAACTTCAGTATATATTCATATTCTTACCGCATATGATCCCTGTGATAGCCCACTAGTAACCTCCATCTGATTTGGGAAGGTGCCCTGATGAGCTCTCTTTGTGTCCAATTTCTAGAAGGTTTTCATGGTAATATCCTCTTTGTCTAAATATTGTTGTTACTGTTGTTCTTCCTTAAATCTGTTTCCCACGTTGCTGTAAGCAAATGATAATGACCCTGTTCTAATCATATCTTAAAAATTTTACTTACAATCCCTTTATCTGCATTTTCTTGTTTTTTTTCCTTTTCTGTAATCATATCTTTGAATTTAGTGTAATCCCTGCATTTTCTTGATCCATTCTATAATTGAATCATGCTGTACCAAGTTATTTTTTCTTCCCTATTACTGCTTTTATCTTCCCATTTTTATGCATTTTCTCTAGCCAATGTTTTAATCTAATCACTTGTTGTTTAATATACTCCCTAAAATCTCTCTTAAATTTAATGGAAACCTTTCTAATTCAATAATTGGACATAATGATGAGATTGATGGCATAAACTTTTCCTTATTCCAAATGTTCAATGTATTTTTAAGGAAAGGATTTCTACCTTTTTAATAATACTTTATTATAATTGAAAAAAAATCCATCAAGGATCCTTCTAGTTGAAAAATAACTTATTTCAGCCATATTACCTTGTCAGGTTGCAATATTACATCCCTCAAACCATTCTGCATTACCTAAGTGGAAAAACCCATGCACCTGCATAACTGCTCTCAGTGATTAAAATTTCCAACTAACTTTATGTTTTTAAATCTTATACCATACCTTAAAAAAATCAAAAGTCTTTTGCTAAGATAAACATAGTACAATATGAGGAGGTCAGTTTTTAAAGAAAAATAATAACAGAAACTATGTTGACACAGCAAGCAAAGAAAACAGCAGACAAAAATTTGTAAGTCTGCGTCTTTGGAGGGAGATGCATTGGCAAGACAAGCCAAGGGGGCAGATGGCCAGAAGCCAACTTAAATTCGCCTGTTTTAGCTAGCTACCAGAACCCACACAGCATAAGGGTCATCGAATCATAGAGCCTTGCAAAAGGCAGCAGTAAGACCAGAAGCCATGCTGGATTATACCAGTGTCCATCCGGTCCAGCAGTCCATTCACACGGTGGCAAACCAGCTATATGCAGGATCCCTCAAGCAGGATCGGTGCAAGACTCCCAGCTGCCCACGCTTCTCACAACTTGTGGTAGGCATGCATGCCACCTCTGGCAGTGGTGCGATCACATAGCCAGGGTAATGGCCTCGGCCTGGCCCAGTTGAACTGTGAATCCATGCTGACAGGCCAATAGGAGAAAACTTCTGCCAGCATCAGGATTGCCTTTTTCACCCTTGCCTGCAAGATGTTTTATGGATATTTCTGTTGGTTCAGGCTGCCTGGAATGCCATATCTGGTAGGAAGGCAGAGCATCGGTTACAGGGAATGAAGCAGAATTTTGTTTTCAGCTGCAATGCTTGACATGCTTTGCTTTAGCTCCTGGCTCAGGCAGTCTTCTCTCTTCCTGCTTGTTGTCCTGACACAGGTTGACTTGATGCCCCATGACCTCATTACACAACTTTTGCGGGTTCTGGCCATTGAAACAAAACAAGAAAAGGCCATAATCAGTGTTGACCCAACAGAACTTGCTCTCAGCGGCCTGGAAGCATTTTCATTTGATTACATCGTTAAGTGGCCGCTATCACTCATCATCAACAGGTAAGGCAGAGGGGAGGAACCTGCCAGATGGTGGTATTTATTTAGTGTGCTGCCATCAGTAGAATTGCATGGCAGCCTGATGATCTGGGTCATGTTGAAGAGCATGTTTAGGTGTCCCTTGTACTTACGTGGCCTGTAGAGCATGGCCATGCCCTGGTGGTTCCCACTACAGATCAGCCTGGACAATGATCTTCAACCCAAAATGGCCTTCAGCCATCTTCTGAAGATGCTTCTGGCCGTGGCTCAAAGATCAGTAGGCAGTGTGGGATCCAGCATCTTTAGGCTGCTGTCTTTGTGTTGGATTTGTAGGAAAGCCTTAACACGGTACCAGATGCTTTTCAGACACATGTTTTACTGCAAGCATGTGGAGCGACAGCTGTGCAACGTGTGGCTCAGCAGCAAAGCAGCCAAGCAGTACTCACTGCATTCATCAAAATGGTAAGTGAGATGCCGGTTTCCGCCCTGCCAGAACAAGGCATTCCGCTGCTTCCACGGGAAACCTCAAGGTTCTGGCCTTGCCCTGCAGTCTGTGGCAGGAGGAGGAGGAGGAAGGATCTGTCGGTACTCACATCAGCCCAAGCGTCTTCCCAGCCCCTGTGCAAAGGAAGCTTCCCCTTCCTGACCCAAATAGTTGATTTTCTTGCAGCTTTGAGGGAAGTTAAAAAAGAGATTAAAAGCCTCATCTTAGGTAATTTCTTTTCCATTTCCAACCTAATGAAGTATTTACCTGACCTAAAGGAATTCAATTATTTTCTGCAGGACAAGGGCACAGCCAGAAGGTAAAATCCCAGAAGGGTAGCCCCTTGCAAACTTATAGATGGGAGCTGAATTCCAGAAGGCAAACTCAGGAACTGACATTTAAACTAAATTCATATGTAAAGCAAACCTAGCTTAGAAAGTGGGAGGAAAGGAACGCACACCTAGAATTAGGAGCCAAATCCCAGGGAAAAACCCAGTAGGAACCTGCAGCTCCTGCAGCCTTGCTCAGGTAGGAAGTTCATATTTCAGCTAAAGCCAGGCTTCAGAAAGAGGAGGAAAGGAGCCACTCTGCAAGCTCAGCTAGCGGAGGAGGCTGCTGATCAACATAAAGTGGAGGCCAGCTTTGGTTCGAGCCAGGATTGACCTGGTTTTAAGGTTGTAGAGAAGCTCACAGAGTAAAGGTCAGAAATAGAACAACTCCAAATTTGATATTCCCACTTACTTAAAGCATACCCAAAAGAATTCAACCTCCCAGAGCACATCCCTTCACAAATCATTTGTGATCTGCCATTCCACATGGTGGGCATGTTGTGAACAGAGCCGGCTGGAGTTGGGGGTCAGACTAGATGGCCCGAGAGACCCCTTCTGACTCGCTGTGTTTCTATGTTTCTAACCCATTCAATAAATAGAACAATTTGAAGAAGCATAGAATAGTAGAGAAGGGACATTGGGTTCAGCCCCCTGTTTAGTGCAGGATTCCAAGTTAAGCCTTCCCTCTCAGATGGCTGTCCGGTTGCATCTGGATGCCTCCAGTGTGGGAGAGTCCACCATCTCCTTGGGTCATTGGCTTAATCGTCATACTGCTGTACCAGTCAGGAAGTCCTTCCTGATGTTTATGTCGTGAGGCTGGCGCCCCTTCCCAACAAAACCAATCACTCTAGCAGATACTTCAAACATCTTTATTCTAAACAGCTCTATGTGTACAAGTTTCCTTCCCTTGTGCGCGTGTAAGGGACTTCTGAGCATGCAGGCGCACACGGCAGTTTGGTTGGAATCTGACTTCCTGTAACTTGAGCCCATTGTTCCATGCCGTGCACTCTGGGATGATGATGAAGAGATCCTGTCCTTCCCCTCAAGTCCCTGCAGAGCACTACCACACCTCCCCTCAGGCTCCTTGAGGCTAAGCATGCCCAGTTCATTTGATCTCTCCTCCCAGGGCCTTGTTTCCAACCCCTGGATCATGCCTTCTGGAAACACTGGCCGTTTGCTTCTCAAAAGTTTCATCCTTGCCTTCTCCTTGGCTGAGTGGTCAGTACCAGACTCCAGCCACGGTGTCTCTTTTATTCCTAGCTCCATTTATATTAATCACAATGCTCTTGAGGGGGCTGCTTAGTGCATTCTTCCGCATTTCTGTACGCATGGTGCCACTCTGCCTCCCTTTCTGTTCCTTCTGCTCTTTTTAAAGGTTGAATTTGCATCGTGTGTCATATCACCAAATTTTGGTTACACCTCTCAGGGCATACTCGCCATCATGTATTGAGACTCCAGTCTTATTACTGCTGTTTGACCTCAAAGACCACGTGCTTTATACTCTAGCGTTCTTCCTACATTTTTGGAAGACTATTTTTGGGCACTGCTAGAGCTGCTTTCTCTGTTGTGATATGTAAGACTTTCTTTTATGCCCAGGTGTACTTCTCTCTCCCCTGTAGGATTCTGTTTAAAACCCACCTGATACACTTCCTTGTGCTGCGGCCAAACAGCACACTCTTTGTAAGGTGCAACCTACCCCACTTCCAGGGAGTGGAGGGGCGGGGGGACAATTGGCAGCCTACATTCCCAGTCACTGAAATCCAGGGAATTCCAGCAGTCCAGCCACAATCTCCCGTGCTTGCAGACGAGGTCATCCAATCAAACTGGTTGCAGCAGCAGTGGGTAACACAGGTGTGAGAGGTGACCAGCACGGTTCGCCAGTAGAATCAGGGAAGCCGTTGGGTGAAGTCTTCCTTCAAGATACAGGAATCTTGCCCAAATCATGAAAGCGAAAGGGAACCCAGACCTGTGCAAGGGAGAAGCAAGGAAACTGCGTAGGAGCACATTGCCAACAAATCGAGGACAACAACGAAGGACTGTGCACATACAGCAAAAGGAAAAGCTAGAGGAGCTGTTGGACTCTTGAATGGTGATGGAGTTAAAGGAGCACTTAAGGCAGATAGGGAGATGGCAGAGGAGCCAAATTAATTCTTTTCGTCTGTCTTCACAGCAGAGGATGTAAGATAGAGAACTATTTCCGAACTTGGCACCTCGTAGGCTAGGTGCCACTTCCATTACCAGAGGCAGCATGCTTACATTCAGCAGTGGCTGAGGAGGCTGGGCAGGCCAGGGTCTTGTACCGTCCTGCTTGAGGAATGCTTGAAGGATGCTGTGAACTTGCCCGTGTGTGAGCAGAATGCTGGACTGGGTGGATTCTTGGTTTCGATGTAGCATGGCTGTTCTGTTCTGTTCTGTTCTGTTCTGTTCTGTTCTGTTCTGTTCTTACTCCCGTGCATGCAGCCTGCTTCCTGCTGTCAGAAACTGCTGCTCACAACAGCAGCGGTGTCCTTTCTCTGCAACCCCTCCATCTCTACTCCTGTCCTTCTCTTTCAGGTTTGCTGGTGCTTTTACACTTCGTCAGAGAATGCTCAATTTTGTGCAGAATATTCAGTACTACATGATGTTTGAAGTGATGGAGCCAACATGGCATATCCTGGAGAAGAATCTGAAGTCGGTCAGTCATGGTAGATCCCCATGTTGTCCTCACACTCTGGCTGCGTGGTAGCCACCCACAGAAGGCAGCAGACCAGAAGGTGGTTCACAAGGTCTTCCCCCGAGAGTCCCCCTGCCCACTCCCCAAGTACCCTCGGGTGTAACCCATCAGGGCCTGGGGCCTTCATAATGTCCAGTGCCCTGAGGCGGTTGGGGGGGAAGGTGACTCTAACGTGTGCTCCTTAATCCTGGCTTCATCCGGTCCCTCATGTGGATCTTCCCCATCCTGCTTTGGAGAGAACACAGGCAAAATAGTCATGTCGCAGCTGTGCCTGTTCCCTCACATCAGTCACCGAATCCCTTTCCTCCTTATTAAGCGGTCCCACCGCCTGTCTCCCCTTCCTCTGGCTATTTACGTTGGTAGAAGCCCTTTTTGTTGCTCCTGATATTCTTTGCAAGTCTCAGCTCATAATCAGCCTTAGCCTTGCAAAGAATCCTGCAACAAACGTTCTCTTCCTGGTAGACCCCTTGGTCTGCTTGCCCCAGTACCCATTTCCTACGGAGGTTCCTTTTTCGCCTTATGCCTCTCACCACTTCTCATCCATGGGCGCGCTCTCCTTCGCCTCCCCGCCTTGCTAACTATCGGTATCGTCAAGGCTGGTTGAGCACCTTTGGAAGCGGTGGCTTCCTTAGGGCTTCCTGAACTGGAAAAGATGCAGAGTAGGGCAAGGAAAATGATTAGGGGGCTGGAACAGCTCCCCTGTGAGGAGCAGCTGTGACAGCTGGGATTGTTCAGTTGAGGGAAAAGGCAAGCAAGTGGAGATGCGAGCGGTGTTTGAAATGATGAATGTTGTGAAGGAAGTACTGAGGGAGACATTTTTCTCCCTCTCTCATAACACTCGAACCCAAAGTCACCCCATGAAGCTGATTAGTGAGAGGTTTAGGACAGATGAAAGGAAGGACTTCTTCATCCAGTGTATAAACTGTGGAATCTGCTGCCACAGGAAGTGCTGATGGCCACCAGTATGGATGACTGTAAAAGGGGATTGGGCAGATTCATGAGGTGAGGCGGCTCTTGGTGGCTATCAGCCTTCCAGGCCAAGTGGGACCTCCTTCCCCAGAGGTGGCTTGTCTGCACACTTCAGTTTCTGAAGGGCTTGGGCTGGAGGAGGTCTTGCACCCATCCTGCTTGAGGGATCCTGTGGGCAGCTGGTTTGCCAGAATATGTATGGAGTGCTGGACTAGATGGACCATGGGTCTGATCTGGCATGGCTTTTCTTAAGTTCTTATGCTAGAGATACTGAAGAAGAGGCTGGAGTGGGGAAGTATGAACTCTGTTAAATCCATTCCATGGATTGTAAAGTGTTCAGTTGTTCACTTATTGATAGATTTCAATGTTTTTCCATTTCCCAGTCCTGCATTTGTTTGCACTTCCAAACATGTAGAAATCCTCAAAATGCAAATTATCATGTTTTAGTCTATGTGGAAATAGGCATCCAGTAGGATTTATTTTTCTATGACTAAAGTGGATAAAATTCTGGACAGTAAAAACCCGGTCTGTGGAATCCGTGTGACTCAGGTAAAACCAGTCGGCTGCAGGATCTGCAGGCTGGATTCACAGTTATGCAAGCTCATTCGCCAGCATCCCTGGATTACTCTGTCATTTGCTAGATACGCTGTGGACGCATTCTGTGCAACAGCCCCTGCACTGGGCCACAGGCCCCTAATGGGTGGTGTGTCTCGTTGAACAGGCCTCCAATATAGATGATGTCTTGAGTCACCACACAAGCTTCCTGGACAATTGTCTGAAGGACTGCATGCTCACCAATCCGGAACTGCTGAAGATCTTCTCCAAGATGATGTCTGTCTGTGTCATGTTCACCAACTGCATGCAGGTAGCACCCCTCTCCCAAACGTCCTTCCAGAGATGGGGATCTGGCCACACTGGCCTTCCGGCTACCTTGCCTTGGGGAACGAGTCCCCTCAGTGCATCTGAACATGCCCTACCTGCCTCCCCAAATGGGCACCCTCCCATGTTTTGGTTTACAACTCCCATGAGCCCCAGCCAGCACGGCCATTGCACAGGACATGTGGCAGTCGCAGTTCAAGCTCATGCAGTGGACTCGATTGCCAAAAGCCATGCGGTGCTTACCCCCCCCCCCTTGGTTTTCCCTTCTGCCTGCCAGCGCTTCTCCCACAGCATGAAGCTGGACAATGAACTAGGCCGTCTAACCGTGGAGCATGGGACCATGCGGGGCCCGCCAACAGAGCAGGAGCGTGTAGAGGAATCGACTCGGAAGCAGCTCGCAAACAAGGTGTGTTTTGGGCACTGACCCCTCTCCCCTCCCTCCCCGGCCATTCATGGACTTTCTGTGGAGCTGGAGAAGCCTTCAGAAGTCTGTGTAGCGCAACAGAGGCATCACGCCCAGTTAGGTGTGGGCACTGTAGCTCTTGTCACTTGGAGGAACGGCGTCTTACAGGTGTACAGAACTTTCCCCTCAGGAGCACTGTGCCAGATGGCAGAGGAGGGAAGTGCCAACGCTCTAAGACAGCATCCACGTTCTCTTGCACCACTGGTAATTTCACAGTGGTGTTTCCAGGAAAACCTGCCAGACACACACACACACGTGCGCGTGCGCGGAGAGGGAGAAGGCTAATTCCACTCTCTGGCCAGGGGGAGCAGACAGAGCAAGAGTTGGAAGGGGCCTAGAAGGCCATCGAGTCCAACCACCTCCTCAGTGCAGGATTTCAAGTGAAAGTATCCCCCTCAGACTGTCTAGCTACCTCTAGAATGCCTCCAGTGTGGGAGAACCTACAACTTCCCTAGGTAACTGGTTTCGTTGCTGTACTGTGTGTGCTAACAGGAAATTCTTCCTGATGTCCAGCCAGAATTTTGCTTCCTGTAACTTAAGCCCATTATTCCGAGTCCTGCACTCCGAGATGATTATGAGATCCTGGCCTTCCTCAGTGTGACAGCCCTTCAAGTATTTGAAAAGTGCTATTCTATCTCCCTTGAGCCTTCTCAAAGCTAAACATGTCCAGTTCTTCCAGTCTCTCCTGATAGGGCTTTGTGTCCAGTCCCCTGATGATCTTTGTTGCGGCCCTCTGAACTTGTGCCAGCTTTGACAGGCTGTTCTTTTTAAAAAATTGTCTGCTGTGGCTCTGCAGCTTTTAGCTGAGCATGCAGATTCCTTGCATGTATCCTCTGGCTTCGAGGCAACTATCAACAAGTTTGACAGCAATTTCTCAGCACATCTCCTGGACCTGCTGGACAAACTGAGCATTTACAGCACCAATGATTGTGAGCACAGCATGATCAACATTATCTACAGGTGAGTAAAGATTCTTCATTCTCCACAGAAGCCTAAACAGCCTGCCCGAGAGCCAGAGTTGGGTGGGGAGGGGGCAGAGTCTGTCCATCGAGGGCTATAGGACCGTATGCTGTCTCCGGGATTAACCGGAGGCACAGGCCAGTGCCCTCTTGCTTCCGCTTGTGGTATTCCTGGAGGCTCTGATGGGCTGTGGCCACAACCAGATGCTGCACCAGATTGGCCCCTTCGGGAACGGGACACCTGTGTCAAGGTCTTTCAGCCCATGCTGCTCCCCTCTTCCAGATTGGACTTCAATGGCTTCTATACGGAACGGCTGGAGCACCTGTCTGCAGAGCGGAGCCAGAAAGCGGTGTCTCACCCAGCCCCTCCCAGGATCGCTGTCGCAGCTGCTCACTGAAGGAAGGGCACCGCACAGCCAGCACAGACCTGCAGCACACAGGCATTGTGGCTGCTCCTGGGTTAACCTCTGTACGACACAAAACTGTGGATTGTGTGGTTCTGTGTGTGATACTTAAAAACATTAAAGCTGTGTAGTCTAAAGCTACATGGGCAGCTCAGTTCAGCTGAGAAACAGGGTAACTCCGGGGCAGGTAGTGTATGGTGCTTAGAATAACAGAGTGCCTTTATTTCAAAAGTATAAAGTGACAAAAGCCCTCATGGGCCAGGATTGTGGCCACAGACACAATGGAAAGAGAACATTACTGCCGCACCAGTCCTGAACCCCTAAGCAATATGGTCTTAGGAAATGTATGCGCTTAAATCTAAAGTATGCCAAAACTATTTGGCAGTAAGTGTATCAATCTCCTCAGCAACCAAGGGAACATCCCAGCAAAAGAACTTGAGGAGCCGTCTGTCCACCATGGCTCAACAAAATGCTTCTAAACTTGTAGAAGGGAGAAGTTTGTTTACAGGATATCTTTAATTGCAAGGTATTAGGCTGTAATTCATGCCTGATATAGATTTTCCCCACTGATGGTTGAAACACATTTGGAAAAGTGCTTTATAAATGTACATCTTCTCCAAAAAACTATTTGTAAGGTGTATATAAATGGCATTAAAGTACTGCTAACCAAAAAAATAATAATTATGGAATTATGCTGTGATCATATTTGTTATATTTTAATATTTTCCTATATTTAAAATGCATACATACGCAATTTCCTAAAACCATAATCATGGCTATGCCTGCTGTGAGCCTCATCTCTCACTCCAGGTTGGGCCAGTCTTGCACATGATCCGAAAAGTACAACCAGACAATAATTAGGATAATGTTTTTTGTGCAGCTGCCTCACTCACTAGCTGTCCGTTTAACTGCAAGGCAATGCCCTGCTGTGGCAGGCTGGCATCACCCAACCATTTTGGACTTCGACTCACATCAGGCCCGGCCAGCATTTTCTGTCTTTGAGGCGAGACCTCTCCAAAGGGTTAACATGGCTTTTGTGGGTATGTCTTTGAGAAGTCGGGTACCCCTGGACCAGTGAAACTCCCAATTCTAAACTTTAAAACTTAATCTGAGAGCTTTTGCAAAGCCTGAGTTGAGAAAACACAGAATCCGAGTCGCTTTCAAGTGCCTCCCTAGCAAAGGACCAGCTCTTGCTAGCAAACTGTCCAGAGAAATCCTACAGTCCTTTCAGTCATTCCTTCAGAAAGCAAGACCCATCCACACCCTACTTCGTTGGTCAGCTGGTGAAAGTAGGTGTGGAGGCAGTCAGGAGGCCAGACAGAACCAGCACAGGTAGAGCTGCTACAGAAAAAGTTACAGAAATAGTTTTATTTTCCCTTATTCCAAAGATCAGCAGTTTGCATAGAGATGCACTAGAAACACAATCTTTTAAAAATCTTCCGTTTCAGTCATCAAGTTTGTTTTCTACAGATACACTTGTAAATCTTGAGGCAAAACCTTCAGATCAACAACAAAATCCAGTCCACAGTTGGTGCTTGACAAATAATCCCTACTTTGATAGTTTAGCAACAACCAAGATAAACTTGTACACAGCCAAGAGTCCTGCACTCATTCCACACACACAGTTGTGGAGTTCAGCAGCCTAGTCAGAGGGTTATGCAGCCAAAGGCCACAAGAAATTTGGCACTGCTCATGGGAAGATACAGCAATACCGCGTGCACAGTAGCAAGGTCATGAGGTGCATTCTGCACGAAGCCTTCCGTGCCACTCAGACCCTTGTTCATGCCACCTTCATTCTTCCCATCTTCCTACCACCCTCCAAGCATGCCATTCCCAGCACACAGCAGACACCAACTCGTAAGTGGCAAGGCACAATCGCAGCTTTAAAAGCCTCAGCCAGAGAAAGGTTTGTGGATTGGACACTCTAAAGATGCGCCTTTCCAACAAGACTGCACTTGCATATTCTGAGAGCTGTACAACCATTACTTTGCCCAGTTTTGGGTAGCAAGAGCTGATCCTCCACAGCCAGCTGGGACTAGGCTATCTGCCAGCTCTCAGATAATGCAAACACACATGGCAAGCCCTGTCTGGGGAGACTCGAGGACTGAGGGCCGGTAGGTAAATGGCCAGCTGGCAAAGGGCAGCTGCTGTTCCATCACATTGCATTCAACACAGGAAGAAGCTGCCTGGGAGAGGAGAACTACTGAGCTGATCGGTTTTGCTGAGTCTTTGTCATCCAGCTCAACAGCAGGGACCAAACTGCTCCTGTCCATTGAAGGCCCCAAGATGCTCCTTATGGCTGCAATGGCATGGAAACCTGAAGGTGTCCTCACAGTTGGCTCTGGAGCACAAGACACCCCCGGGACTGTGCTGAAGAGTGTCCCCCTCCTTTATGCTTCTGGATAAGGCAATTTGATAGCAGGACTGTCCCTGATTCTGAGGCAGCAAAATTAATTAGTTCAGGTAGCTGAGGCAACACAGTCCCTTCTTGGCATCAAGTGTCAGTTGTTCTGGGCCTGAGGTGCAGTTTCTCTCCTTTGGAGAGCAGCTGTGCTTCTCTAGCAATTGGTGCAACCAGTTGTTCAAAGGCACAAGAACCCAGAAACAGGTTAGGGGGCAGGCTGCTGCCGAAGTACAGCTTGCTGTTGGTAGAAATAGCCTGGTATTTCATCAGCTGTAGGTAGGCCGGTGTAAGTTTCAGCTGCAGATAAAAGACAGGGGAACGTCAAATAGGAACGTTACAGAGGAAAAGCAGATATGCAATGTTCAGCTATTCACAAAGCAGCTCCCAGGCCACTATTGCAAGATGCCATATTTACAAGAGCCGAATCTCCGTCTCCTCCTCAGAGGCACTCTGCATTTCCCCACCCCCTGCATACAGATGGAGGCCAGAGGTACGTTTACCTTGTTCGAGTCAGCTGCTTTTTGTGCAGTGTAGTACTTCGCATCAGCTTTTGCCTTCTCTCTTGCTAAAAAAGCAGCATCTAAGAGGGCAGCAGGAAAAGGAGGGTCAGTCAGTGGGAAGAATGGCCATTTCGGCCCTTGGCCTAGGCATGGGCTCGGCATGGGAGGCCTACACGCTCTGCCGCTTGCAAAGGCCTGCTTTGGAGGATGCACTGCCCCCTGGGCCCCTGCAGCGTTCTTTTTCAAGACACTGGTAGAGAAAGGGAAAGGGGGAAGAACGGGAGCTGAAGACGAGAAAGGACAGAGACCAAGGAGACAAGATGGCAGCCACTGCCACCTTCCCTGTCCTAAGCCCCAGCAGTGTTTATTCAGCAGCAGCTCACCCCAGCAGGAGGAGTGGCAAAGCCTGCATATCTGACTGGTCTGAAACACACTGAAGGAATTCATGGATTGCACCCATGTACTATCCTACCTGCACCAGATCCTCAGAAATACCGAATGTCTCTGACCCATCCAAGACAAATGCACAAGTCACAGGGGCAGGGGGGAAAAGACAAAACTGCTCCCGTAAACAAGCCATCACAGACACTCGCATGTTGCAGCATATCCCCCCTACACACGCAGACACACAGACCCTCCCTTTCTCCAGGTCTGGGGCATCCTGCTCTGGGAAGGAGGAAGGGAGGGGCCAAAGCTACCTTCAAGCTCAGAAATTCGCTTCTCCGTCAATGTCTCCATGACCTTCTGACGATACTGAATCTTTGCCACTTGAGCCATCTTTTCTGCTTCTGCCATGGGGAGAAAGTCCAGTCAAGGACAAAAATGAGGGCGCAGGCTTCTGCCCCTACTGGCATTCCCCAGCTCCTGAGACGCGACTTGGAGTCAGGCTCCCAGAGTGACTTGGGCAAACGCTGCCTCAGCCTCTCACAGCCCGCTGCCCTCCAGCGCGGTGCGTTGTACTCCCAGGAGCTCCAGCAAGCATGGCAGCGGCCAGTAGAGGGCCAAGCTCGAGCAGGTCGCTCTCAGAGCTGCACATCACCGGGTCCGCCAGGGCACTGCCCTTCCACAAACGGAGCGGGGCCCCAGAGTGCCCTCAAGAGACCCATGCAACATGCCCAGCCTGCCCTCCATCCCAGCTCTCAGCTTCCCAGTGTTATATTCATTACACTTCTTACGTGGGAAGCCCAAAGGCCTACCGGGAATACCTGGCTCAAAAGCTGCCGGGGAAAAAGTACACCTGGAGATCACCCAAAGAGAAGCCCCATTACCTATGACAGCCTTCCTCCGTTCCGTTTCAGCCTCCTTCTCCACCACCTTCTGCTTCTGGGTTGCTATCAAGAGCTTGGTCTTCTCGGCTTCCCTGCAGAGCATCACAGAAGAAACTTTCTCCAGCCCCCTGGCTGCCTCCCCAGCTAAGCGGCCCCAGCCCTAGGTTGCCTCTCTGTGGAAGGGCCACAGAAGCAGGAGCCTCTGGTGGGCCCCGGGGAAGCCAGGTGCAGGGAGAGTGCCCTTCCATGCTTAGCCACAGTCCTCCAGAGGTCTGATCTAGCAACACTATTCCTATCCTGGATACTCACACAAGCTCAAAATTTCTTCGGATGGCTTCAGGGATTTTGGGCTTTGTGACACGCACGGCCTGTACAAAAAGGGTACACACTTTTAGTCAAATTGCATACTTTCTCAACACTTTCTGGTAGGCTTACCCAAAGCAGTAATGCAGCTTCCCCAAGGCAGGCCACCGGCTGACATGCCTCTTCCCTAGAGAAGACTTCTCTGCTGCTCCCGTCATCCCCGAGGTCCTCACATGCTTCCCAGCGCATCCTTCTGCCGTCACGTGTCTCAGGCAGCTGCATTCGTGGTGGCACCATTCTCAACATCCCAGCCATTCCAAGCCAAAAACAAACCCAGGCTGACAGGGAGCAGAAAACTTTCCCTGTTCTCTGGCTCCATCCCCATCGGAGACTGGCGAGAGAGAACATTCTACCTGGATGGTGAGGCCTGGGGCCAGGGTGTTCAGGTCCTGCTGAAGTGCCAGTTTCAGGTTTTCATCTATTTGATCTAGGGAAAGGGAGCAAACAGGAAAGAGGAGCATTAGCCACACAACACAGAAAAGCCCCAGAGCATTCTGATATCCTCCACCAAATGTGGGAGGCAGGACTGGCTGGCTGGCTGCACTGGCAGGGGCTGAGCTTGACGGGCTCACAGAAGGCACTCCAGACAGGCAGCTGCAGCTCGGCTAAAGGCCAAGGAGTAGAAAAGACTGGTCCAACACAGAACTATCAAAGGCACAGAGCAGCCCTAAGAAGACTGATAATAAGGCAGCAGGTCTGGGCAGCTCAAAATGCAGACTGAGAACTGGGGAGCGGAGGAAGAGAGCAGGTTTTTGTCCAAAAGGAGTCATGCCAAGCTGCCATTCAGAAAACCCTCACTGCCACCTTCAGGTGCAGTCAGGTCTCACACAAACCCTAACAACGTCTGTGACCAAGGGATGTGAAGGACTCTCAACCCCTAGAAGCGGGAATGAGGCAGCCATGACCTGCCAAGAGCCCTTCACCTGCTGTTGCAGAACACCATGTTACCCCATCCCACACAGATGGCTGTCCAGTTTCTTTCTGAATGTCTCTAGTGTGCTTCAATCTTCTCCCACAAGGAAATCTATAACCAAGAGGAAGCACAAGCTGAAAGTGAGAGACGGCAGCCCAAGATTGACAGACAAATAGTCAAGGAGTACCAAGATGGAATAAACACTTTCAAATCTCCAGGGCCCGATCAACTCCATCCCAGAGTCATCAAAGAATGAAGTTCCAGAGGACTGGAGGGTGGCATCAGTGGTCTCAATTTTCAAAAAGGGTAGTAGAAAGGACATGGGGAATTATAGACCAGTTAGCCTTACGTCCATTGTAGGAAAAACAATGGAAAGGCTCATAATAGAGAGAGATCTAGTGATGCTAGACAGGGAAGGGAGGCTGACAGCCACACAACACAGCTTCCGCAAGAACAGGTCCTGCCAGACAAACCTTGTGGAATTCTATGACAAGGTTTCGAGATGGCTGGATGGAGGGGATGCAGTGGATGTGGTTACCTGGATTTCAACAAGGCCTCTGACAAAGTGCCCCATGATATCCTGGTGGAGAAACTGAGGAGTTTTGGGATACACCAAAGCACTGTCCGGTGGATTAGGGCATGACTGACTGACGGAAAGCAGAAGGTAACCATTAGTGGGGAATCATCGGGATGGTGGCCAGTGACAAGAGGGTTCCCCAGGGCTCTGTCCTGGGGCCGATCCTGTTTAATCTTTCCATTAACGACATGGAAGAAGGGGTGAACAGTCTGCTGATCAAATTCGCAGACGACACTAAAACTGGAGCAGTGGCCACAACTGAGGAGCAGGTACTTCAGATCCAAAAGGATCTGGACAGACTATGGAAGTGGGCAGGAGACAACAGGATGGTGTTCAATGTGGGTAAGTGCAAGGTCTTGCACTTGGGTCATAGGAATAGCTGTCGTAAGTACAGGTTAGGTGATAAGTGGCTGGAGAGCAGCCCTTGTGAAAGGGACCTCGGGGTACTGGTTGACTGCAGGCTAAACATGAGCCAGCCGTGTGATGCGGTGGCCAAGAGGGCAAACGCCACCCTTGGTTGCATAGCCAGAAGTGTGGCTTCTAGATCAAGAGAGGTATTACTACCACTCTACACGACTCTGGTGCACCCGCAACTGGAGTATTGTGTTCAGTTTTGGGCCCCTCATTACAGAAAGGATATAGCCATGTTGGAGTCCGTGCAGCATAGGGCCACAAGGTTGGTGGCTGGTTTGCAGGGGATGCTGTATGAGGCGAGACCGAGGGAACTGGGTCTCTTCAGCCTGGAGGAGACTCAGAGGGGATATGTTGGCGACATACAGGTATGTGAGGGGATGGCACATGGAGATGGGTAGAGACCTGTTCTCCCCTGCAGAGGAAGGCAGGACGCGCTCCAACGGAGCAAAGCTCAGGGAGCAAAGGTTCCATTTTAATGCCAGGAAGCACTTCCTGACAGTCAGGACCCCGAGGGTGTGGAATGGGCTTCCACGGGGGGTTGTTGAGGCCCCATCGGTGAGGGTATTCAAGGATAGGCTGGGCGTCCACATGGTGGGCATGTCGTGAGTGGAGCCAGCTGGTGCCGGAGGTCAGACTAGATGGCCCGGGAGACCCCTTCTGACTCGCTCTGTTTTCTATGTTTCTATGTTTCAACTCCATCCCAGAGTCATCAAAGAGCTAGCAGAGGAACTCTCAAAGCCACGGGCTATTATCTTCGATAATAGCTGGAGGCAGGAGAAGTGCCAGACGACTGGAGAAAGGCTAACATTGTCCCTATCTTCAAAAAGGGGAAAAAGATGAACCTGGGAACTCTAGACCAGTTAGTCTGACATCGATCCCTGGAAAAATTCTGGAGCAAATTATTAAAAGTCCATCTGCAAGCATCTCAAAGAAATTGCAGTGATTAATTGAAGCCAACATGGATTTATCAAAAAATAAATCCTGTCAGACTAATTTAATCTCATTTTTTGGCGGGGTAACCTCCCAAATGGACAAAGGGCACACTGTGGACATGATCCATCTAGACCAGAACTGGGCATTGTACGGCCCGCGGGCCACATCCGGCCCGATGGCTGACCCTGACTGGGCCGCATGAGGTCACTGGCAAATTAAAAGTCAATGCAAATATATATTGTCGTAATATAGATGCAAGCAATACAACTGCACTGCTTTTATTTTGAAGGATCTGCTAAATTAATTGAATTTATTGCTTTTCATGTAATGTTAATGTTTTTGTGAATATTCATTAAATAGTGTTGTTCAATGCTCCACATTTTCATTGTATCATTGTAATGTTTCATTTACTGTTTTTATAGAGACATATATTGAGCAGAGCTTTAAGTGTATTGGTCTGGCCCTTAACAACTGTCAAAGTTTCTCATGTGGCCCCATAGGAAAATTAATTGCCCACCCCTGACCTAGACATTAGCAATGTTTCTGACATAGTGCCACATAACATTCTGATAAGCAGTTAGCAAAAACTATTACGGGGATCCAAAATCAGATGCTAAAACAGACACAAAAAGAGCTCATCAGGGACACCATCTCAAATTGGATGGAGGTAACTGGTGGGGTGCTGCATGTTTCGGTCCTGGGCCCAGTGCTCTTCAACATCTTTATTAATGATTTAGATGAGGAAGTACAAGGAAAGATAATCAAATATGCAGATGATACAAAACTTTGTTTGTAAGCCGCCCCGAGGCTTCGGCGAATGGGGCGGCATAAAAATGTTTTAATAAATAAATAAATAAATAATAAATAAAAACTGGGTGGAATAGCAAACACCCTAGAAGAGAGAATGAAGATCCAGGGCAATTTTATCTGGCCAGGGCGACTTATTTTATATTGTTATTTTTTGCATTTTAACTTAATGTTTGTACTTTACAAACATTTTAATGTTATAATTTAATGTTGTATTTTTTAACTTAATGTTGTAAGCCACCCCGAGGCTTCGGCAAATGGGGCGGCATAAAAATGTTTTAATAAATAAATAATAAATAATAAATTTTTTTGATAAACTTGAACACCGGGGTGAAAGCAACAGAATGAGTTTTAATAAGGACAAGTGCCAAGCCCTCCACCTAGGAATAAGAAACCAAATGCATCAATACAGGATGGGGAATACGTGGCTCAGAAAAAGATCTTGGAGTAATTGTGGACAGTAGGTTAAACATGAGCCAGCAAAGCGATGCAGCTGCCAAAAGGGCAAATGTTATTTTGGGATGCATTAACAGAAGCATTAAATCCAAATCATGAGAAGCAGCAGTTCCTCTATACTCCTCACTAGTCAGACCTCACCTGGGATACTGTGTCCAGTTCTGGGCACCAAGATTTAAGAAAGATGCAGGAAAATTAGAAAGGGTCCAGAGGACAACAAAAATATCCAGGAAACACTGTTTGGAAACACTGCCCTGTGAGGAGAGACTGAGAGAAGTGGGCATGTTCAGCCTTGAGAAGACTGAGGGGGGCATGATATCCCTCTGTAAGGACCTCAAAGGCTGCCACAAAGAGGAAGGTCAAGTCTCGTCTTGCTGATACCAGAGTTTAGGACACAGAATAATCAGTTCAACCCAGGTTCAGGCTGGACATCAGGAAAGGCTTCCTCGCAGTCAGAGCAACATGGCAGTGGGACCAGCTGCCTGGAGAGGTGGGGGGCTCTCCCACGCTGGAGACATTCCAAAAGAAACTGGACAGCCACCTGAGTGGGATGGTGTGAACTGGTGACCTGCAATAGCAGGGGGCTGGCCTTGATGGCCTTCATGGCCTCTTCCAACTCTCATGTTCATGATTCTATGAATTCCACATTCGCAGTATCAACTTCAATTGTATTTTTGATTGTGTTTTTATGGATCTATGTATGTTGTTTTAAGTAAGTCTCTGTTTTAACACTGATATTGTTCACCATTTTTGGCAGAAAAGCAGGGTATAAATTAAATCTAATAAAAAGCTCCAGCTGAACATCAGGAGAAACTTTCTAAGTTTAGCAGCCGTTCAGCAGTGGAACAGGCTGGCTCATGAGATGGTGGGCTCTCCTTCACTGGCGAGACTTAAGCAGAGGCTGGATGGTCCCTTGACAGCAGTGCTGTAGCAGCATCCTGCACTGAGCAAGGATGAGAGTAAGCTGTGGGACATGCTCTGATTCAGTGCACAGTTTCACAGAGAAGAGGTTACATGACCAGATAATGCCTAACACTATGCAATCTCCTGACTTGCGCAGTCAAAGAAAGATTACACTGCAATATTTTCATATCCAGTGAACTTTTAGAGGATGTGGAGATATAAAAGACCACTCCTCGGGAGAGATGAATTTCACCCCTTTGTTGTTGAGAACTCCCTTTATTAGAATAAAATATACTTCTGTGGCTTACACTTCACTTTGCATGTCTTTTTCTGAGACTAACACACCAAAAACAAATTTAGCCTTTTGCTACAGGTGACTGAAAATTTAGGGTTCTACGGAAGCTGCTTCTCCACACTCAACGTCACAGCAGAGGCACCTTGTGGGAATGACAGAGCCAAGGTAGAGCCGTGCTTACCAAAGAGTTCAATGTACACCTCTTGGAGGGTGTGGATGCTGCAGAACTGGTTCAGCTCATGATGGATTTTGTTGAAAATTAGGGCTCTATCATAGTCAGCTGTGTAATTCCTCACAGTGTTGTAAACTAGGAAAGGGAACATCAGGAGCATTACAAGAATTGTACTCTAAATTTGTTTTCTTATGTCCAGATACACATGCAAGACTCTAGATCTCAGTATTTCTTCATACTCCGGTAGTCAGTTTTCTAAATTATCTGAATTACTTTTTATTTTTTTGGTATATTTTCACTTAATAGAGAGAAAATAACAGCTGTTAAAAGATTCTGCTCCTTTTATTTTATGCACTTGTCTCAACATATATGCTAGTTTTCCAGGCTCCTCTGGCAAGGTGGTTCATGATACGTTTGACCTTCTCTCTCTCAGCGCAAACTGCCTGAGAAGCTTCCCCCAACCCCAGCGTGCAAGTTCCAGCTTGCAAACAGGAACGTACAAGAGGAGGCGGTACGACGGCATGGGGTTAGTATGCACAAGAGCCTTAAAACGAGTTCCCTTTACCAGAAGAGGCACACCAAGGACAGCATAATATTCTATCAAGGCTACTTTTTGCCCTAGATGACCACCCTCACTGCTTCCTCTCCCAGCCTGTGCCTTCTCAGGCCTTCCAGAACTGAGCCCCTCCCTTTCCTCAGCATTCCCACACCAGTATCAACCCCTTTCCTACTGCCACCCTAAACGCTTATGGGACACTGCATCCGCAACAGAGAATGCTTCCCTCCACTCAACATCAACCCCACCATCACGTCATTTCACAGGTCATTTTGGAGGCGAGGCAACAGGAAATGCCAGCTGCCCCCCATCAAGCACCCTTTCCAGCAGCAGGAGTCATAAGAGACTCTCCCCCCACCTCATAACTCATGTTCACTAGAAGGGTGAGATCGCAACTCCCAGCTGTGCCAGCCGCGGGATTCCGGCAATTGTAGCCTGATGCATCTGATGGGGAAGGCTGGCTTCAAGTGGCTGGACGTCTCTTACCCTCCTCCTATAAGCCACTCTCCTGTTCCTGCTATGCGCCTGCCTGACCTTCACCCCACCTGTTTGTCCACGGTTCTGAGCCCCCAGTCTTCTCTTGCTCCAGATCCTGGCACTTGTGACAGTTTCTTTTATCCCAAACTTACTTTCCGACAGAGGAAAAGAAGAAATACCTGCATGTGGTGCTAACACATTCACAACCTCTATTCGATCGATGTAAATCATGACACCACCGCTGCAAAAGGTAAAAAAGAAGACTGAGCTCCACCAGCAGAGAGACGTGTGCCCTCTGCTAGGTGGCTGCAGCCGTGTCAGGTCCTGCACCACACACAGTCCAGCAAAAGGGTGCCAGCTCTGCGGGATTTCATGGTTACCCAATTTGTTCGTGCAACAAAGAGACTTCTCGGGCAGCAGTTCACCCATCCTGCCCCATCCAGGCCTGCAGTGCTGCCCCTCCAGGGTGGTGCTGTTGTGTTTCTGCCCACGCCCCATTTCTTATGAGCAAAGGAGCCCAAGTGCTATGCTTCAGAACTAAAACAAGCTGTAGGATTCCAGCTGGACTGGGCAATCAGAGGCTTCCTGTTCTCTTCACAGACCCAAAGCCAAGAGATCCAAAGGACAAATCGAGAAGACCCAAAGGACTTTGCACCCTTCTCCATCAATAAACTCATGCAGGGGGTGGGGGCACAATATGACATAAATTCCTACAAGCTGTTAGAGCCCTTGCATGGTAGGCATGTCATGAGTGAAGCCCATGGCCCGGGAGGCCCCTTCTGACTGTTTCTATGTTGATATCCCACAAAAAAGACAGACATCCTTCAGAAAACCCATGGTGGATGAGACCACAGGTCCATCTAGTCCAGCACTCCATACATATGCTGGCAAACCACAGGATCCCTCGAGCAGGATGGGTGCAAGACCTCCTTGGCCCAAGCTCCACAGCAAGTGATGTGTGCAGACAAGCCACCTATGGCAAAGGAGGTCCCACTTAGCCTGGAAGGCCGGTAGCCACTGATAGCCTCCTCCCTCATGAATCTGCCCAATCCCCTTTTAAAGTCATCTAGATTGGTGGCCATCTCCACTTCCTGTGGCAGCAAATTCCATAGTTTAACTATACACTGTATGAAGAAATACTTCCTTATATCTTTCCTAAGCCTCCCACCAATCAGCTTCATGGGATGACCTTGGGTTCATGTTATGACAGAGGAAGAAAAATGTCTCCCTCTCCGCTTTCTTCACACTACGCATTAAACACCTCTCTCACGTCTCCCCTATTCGCCTTTTTTCTAAGCTGTGTGGTCCCAGTTGTGGTAGCCGTTCCTCAGAGGAGAGCTGCTCCAGCCCCGATCATTCTTGTTGCCCTTCTCTGTACTTTTTCCAGCTCAATCATGTGCTTTTTCAGGTTAGCTGAGCAGACCTGAACACCATATTCCAAGTGCAGTCATACCAAAGATTTGTATAAGGGAAGATTTGGCAGTTGTATTTTTTGTTCCGTTCCTAATTATGCCTAGCATGGAGCTGGCCTTCCTCACAGCAGATGCACGCCGGGCCAACCTTTTGAGGTGTCTGCTGCTACCTTAAGATCACTTCCTTGCTCACTTTCTGCTAGCTCAGATTCCATCAACATATTCCTGAAGTTGGGATATTTGCCCCACATGCATTACTCTACACTGGCTTATATTGAACTGTATTTGTCATTTTGATGCCCATTCCCCCAGCTTGGAGAGTTCCTTTTGGAGTTCCTCACAATTCCTTAGGGTTTTAACCACCATAAAGTTTAGTGCCATCAGCAAACTTGGCCACCCCTAATTCCAGATCATTCACGAACTGGCTGAAAAGCACTGATCCCAATAAAAAGTCCTGTGGGACTGCACTGGCGACATCTCTCTAGTCAAAGAAACTGCCTTTTATCCACCCCCTCTGTCTTTTTCCCTAAGCAGTTGGTGATCCAGAGTGATCTCAAATGGCTTAGCTCCATTCTCTGCCCAGTTTCTCCTGCCAATAATGCCAGAAGACACCTGACCAGCCTATTCAACATGGACAAACAGGCTTGCCGGTCATCTGTAGATGGGCCGTCTCAGCTGGGACGAACCTGCTCGGTGCAGTACCCAGAAAGAGCAGTGCAATGATTCTGATGTCTCCAGTGCTTGAACTGCCCCCAGACAGAAACTCAGTGAGCAGAAGGATCAGGCTCAGCAGGAGAAGCGGGCACCCTGGCTGCCCCGATTCTCCTTCCAGTCTCCCAGTACGGTGCAGAGGAAAGCCTCGCTGCCCGGGACTGGGCCTCGGGCGCCCCTCACCAGCGTTCGCGGCCAGGGCCACCGGTGCAAAGAAGGCCACAAAAGGACAACCTACCTCGTCCCGCAAGGGACGTTTTTTATCTCATCCGTCTGCAGCGTCGTCTGGAAGAGAGCACACGACCCAAGAAGCTGAGAGCGGCCGCGGCAGCCCCAGGAGCGCCCGCTGCCCCGCAGAGGCGGCCCCCTTCCGCGGCCGGCCGCCTGCCCAGCCCCGCGGGAGGCCCGGCTCCGCCGCGGGGCCCCGTCCTGCCGCCCGCGAGCGCGCCCCGCGCACAGACCTGCACGGCTCTGCAGCTGGTGACGAAGGGCAGCATGAGGCGGTAGCCCGGCCGGCTCAGGCTGGGGAGCAGCGCGCCGCCCCTGCGGGAGAGACAGACCGCACAGCTGAGCGCGGCTCCGCGGGAGCGGCCGCCGCCCGCGCCCCGCGCCCGCGCCCCGCGCGGCTCACCGGTAGTAGACGGCCAGGTGCCCCTCGGGCACCTTGTGCACCGCGGCCCAGAGCAGCAGCAGCGCCAGCCCCGCCGCCCCCAGCGCCCCCG